CGACCCCCCCCCCCCGCAGTACCCTTGTTTTGGCCTCTCTCTTTTTTCAGTCTCTCTTTTGCCGGGATGAGTAAAGCCCTCTCTAGTTTGTGCAAGAGAACTTGACAAGAAAATCGCCCCAACACTACCACAACAAATCAGGTTCACGCACACCAAGTCGGACATGCCGTCCGGGTTCAGCATGAAGCTGAGGAAGCATATCCGCACCCAGAGACTGGAAGACGTCCGGCAGGTGGGCATGGACAGGGTCGTCGACTTCAAGTTCGGCAGCGGGAAAGCGTCCAACCACGTCATCCTCGAGCTCTACGCGTCAGGTGGGTGGGTGTAATTTTGTGGCGGCTGGCGAGCTAGCTTGTTGGCTGCCTGATTTTGATCGGTGGTGGCAGCACCAACGGGGTTTTTGCCTCGGCACTGCTTTCATCGTCGTTTTTGGGGTTGTGGTTTTTGCTATCCTGCTGGTTGTTCAGGATGCATGCAAGTCTGCCCGGTTTGTTTGGGGGTCGTTAGAATATCGCTTCAAGCTCAACCGAGGGAAGGCGTCCTATCGCTTGTTCTGCAATGTGGGACCAACGGCAGTTTCGCGGGTGGTCCGGGTGGTGCTGTGTGTTGGTTTGGCTATGGTGTTGGTGTACAACATGTCATTCTGCGTCTGTCGCTGTCGCCGTCGCTGTCGCTGTCGCTTGGCTGTCTGTCGTGCTTGTCGAGGATGTGACACTTTTTTCTTTTCCCGTTTGTGTACCCCAGCGATACGCTCCCCTCTTTCGTCGTGAAACCAAGACCACCCATGCTACCAGCGGAGTTGAGCATGTCAGCAGCGAAGACGCAACATCCTCGAAATCAACTTCCAACCTACTACCCATTTATGGACATACATACGTGGAACCGTCTGACCTCCCAGAACAAGACGCCTCCACTTCACCCGTACTTGTGCGGTGTACGCGCCCCTACATACCATGCTGGCCGCCTCCTGCTGTATCCCGTTCATCTCGCGCAGGTAACATCATCCTGACAGACTCCAAGTACGAGATCCTCGACCTCTTAAGGACGCACATCTACGAAGGCCAGGGCGGCGGGGCCGGCGGCGGCGGCGGAGACAACGTGAGAGTCGCGGTGAGGCAGATCTACCCGATGGAGCTCGCCACCACTCAGGAGGGAACGACAGCGGTACCGCCACCGCCACCTTCTTCGTCCTCGGACGGAGCGGCTGCGGCGGCTTCTTCTTCGTCCGTGGAGGATTCCGCCGCGAGCGGCGGCCGGGTGGCGGCGCCAGAAGACCAGCAGCGGGAAGAAGAGGCACCGGGAGCGTTCGTCAACGGCACGCCGCTCGAGGTCGGGGTGCGGCGGATGAGCGAGTGGCTAGAGCGCGCTGCAGCGGCGGCGGCAGCGCCTCCCCCGGTTCTTGCTGCCCCGCTCCCGCCCGCTCCTCCAGTCGGCGCGACGGACGCCGGAGTGGATAAGCCCGCCGCCGTTGCCGCCGCCGCTGCCGCCGCCGGGACAAACGGCGGAGGTGGTGGCGGGAAGAAGAAGGGCGGCGGCACCAAGAGGCCGAAAAAGGCGACGCTCAAGCAGGCGCTGATGCAGAAGGGTTCCGGGGTGTCGGTGTACGGGCCCTCGATCATCGAGCACTGCGTGCTGGCGGCGGGGCTGAGGCCCAACGCCAAGCTTACACCAGACGGCGGCAGCGGTGGCGTCCATGGAGCAGCAATGGCATGCACGGCAGCAGCAGCAGCAGCAGCGGCCGGTGTGGCTGGGGCTCCTGAGTGTAGTGGGAAAGGCGGCGAGCTGCGTGCGGGTTTGTCCAAGGACGAGGTGCGGGATCTGGTCGTTGCGCTCGGAGGGGCGGAGGCGATCGTCCAGCAGCTCGACCGCCCCGGGCAGCGGGGCTACATCCAGTGCAAACCCCTGCCGGCACCGGCACCGGCGGCACCGGCGGCGGCGGCGGCGGCGACGGCCACACAGGGAGGAGGGCGGGGGGAGGAGGAGGAGGGCGAGAGGAAAGTGAAGCAGGGCGAGACGGAGGAGGAGGAGGGCGGCGACCACGTGGTCTACGAGGAGTTCTTGCCGCAGCTCTTGGCTCAGCACGAGGGCGGCGCGGTGATCCACTCCTTTGCGTCGTTCGATCAGGCCGTTGACGCGTTTTTCGGCCGCATCGTGGAGCAGAAGCTTAAGCAGGTGATCTTGGAGGGGGGCCGACTCCGTAGTTTGCGCTGTACCGCGTGTCAAAGCTCCATCTTAAAAGCTTCACCTTCCCATATATAAGTATGTATTTTTTTGTTTTCCCCGGCTTAATTAATGTCGGACCAAATGGAAACGAAACAGACGGCGATGGCGGCCGAAGCGGCGGTGGAGAGGAAGGTGGCGTGGATCAGGAACGACCAGGAGCGGAGGGTGCTCGCCCTGGAGGAGCGTCAGGAGAAGATGCTCCGGCACGCGCAGCTCGCCGAAGCCTGGGCGGACGAAGTGGAAAAGGTGACTGGTTATCCTCAGTCCAAGAGAGAAAGAGAGAGAGAGAGAGAGAGAGAGAGAGAGAGAGA